CAAGGCCAAAGTGAAGACCAAACAGGAGCTGTCCATCTGAGGGACATGTGCAGTCTAAAAAACATTTAACCATGAAATGTTCAGTTTGAGATGTTTATATGACATACACCCAGCCCCCCGGCCACTTAGGTAGTTTACAAAATTTACGTAGAGTAAAAAAATTAAATAAAAAACTTGTTGGACTGATTTGGAATGATGTCCTGAGACGTTGCAGCTGATAGGAGACATAAAACAGAACAAGGGGACATTGGACGCCCTGACGCCCCTCTAGATAAATGTGTTAAATGAGTGAAGGAAAATATGAGTGAGCACCAAGCAACAACCTTAGGTTCTCCCCTGAGAACCAGACCAAAAATTTTATGTGCAGCCCTGATAATAATAATAGCCTTTAAACCGACACTTAAATAACCGTGTTGAATCAAATTGTCTAACATCAAAGAGCAGAATACAGACAACTAAGCACACATCATCAACAACCAACATACCTCTGCTGTCATCTTGGCCATCCGCTCTGGAGTGACACTGCCACATAGAACAGTCTTCCTTAAATTAGGGTTTTTCACATCCTTCAGGTTCGAGATCCGGCTCCGCACGCGGTTCTTGTATTTCATGTCTGTGTTCTTAAACTCTTGGAAGATAAGTGAAGGTTGGTTGAGGAAAACACGGTTTCTGAAAAGTGGCACAAATCTTTACAGGGATCTATGAACTTTTACGTGCGACAGCTTTAAAAGACTTAGTTAAGTAACAAAGTGTTTTATCATGCATGCATGCCTTTGTGTACTGACTAACAGTGACAAATATTAGCAAAAATACACCATTTTACTAGAACTAAATAAAAACGGATGAAAACACCATTATATCATTCAGAACTTGTGATAACTTGAAATCACACAAACGGCTGCTTCAAAAACACTGAGTCTTAAAGATATATTCCTCAATCTGTGCTCCGAGCTCCTCACAGTCAGCACCAATAGCAATATGATCATCTGGAAAAAATAAAAAATAAACACATCAGAAGGTGAAGCTGAAAGTAGGAAAACATAAACAACAAAAAAAGCAAACGTTTCAAGAACTAAGCTGTGGTTTAAGTTTACCTCCGGTCTGCAGAGCACTGGTCAGCATCTCTCTGCACTTGAGCCTGATGGAGTCAGAGGTGATCGGGGCACGAGGAAAACTGGTGTTTAATGTGTTGGGAGCGACTTCAGACGATTCGCTTTTGCTGCTGGAATTACTGCTGGAGCTGCTGCAGGGGGTTATTCAACAACGTTAACCATCAACTGTGAAGCAGCAAGAACCAAATATAAACAAATTACGACAAACGACGACATAAACATAATGATTTTTCTCATTACCTCTCTTCTTTTGCCTCGGGRCTTCCTTGTGAGGGGGAGACAACAGGCGTTGTTTGGTCTTTCCTCTTCTCCTCTGAAGCTTTCTCTGCACCTCCGGGCTCATCTGAAGTACGGCAATCAAAATCAGGCAAGTACAAATAATAACTATATGCAAGTAATACAAGCAACAACAATATAAGCAAAAACAGGAGGAGATATWACTGCTCCGACAATCAAACCAGCAAAAACAACGTCAGTGTCTGAAAGTCAGTTTAACAAATGCAAACACATTTAACTGAGACAGTAAAATGACACATATACTAAAACACCTAGAATACAGCATAGTTACACACATGCACATTACTGATTATAATTATTAAATTACAATTACCCAAAAGCTTTTTCCATGATTTGATCAATGATTTGGCTAAAGATGTCACCTCCTCGTCTGCGCTTTGCTTGCGGATAGCGTTGACTGACATTCCAATTCTGGTGGACTGTTGAAAGATACTGCGTCAGTGCTTCAGCTCCACTCAACACTGTGTATCCACAGCAAACCTTCAGAATAAACACGTAACGATACCTGAAGAAGCTCCAGCGTCATAGGAACATTGCGCAACTCTTTTAACAAATCCAAAGCCCCAGCCTTCAGGGTAGAAAGGAGAGAGAGAGTTGTTGGGAAAACCTCACACTGAACCTCTTGGCCTTTTATAACAGCTTCACTACTACAAACTAAATAAAATGTTAATTTGGTATGAACAGACTTCTTGTAAATACCTATTGATTCAACAAGAGTATAAATGTTTTTGTTGTTCACAAAGAAACAAAACAAATGAGAAAGATTAAAGTTTATTTTACCTATAATCCTAACCTAAATTACAAATCTGATAAACAGTAAAGTACTACCTTCTAATTGAGTAAGACTAAAGC